TAGGATGACGGCGCTCGAACCCGCATAGCAAATTCCTCCAAGGAGATGTTAGCCAGTGCTGCTAATGATTTCTAGCTAGTGATGAATGCAATACTTTTTTCAAAAATCACTTTGTGACTTAACACCGAAATTCAAGGTTCATACCTATGATAACTGAACAGTATTTAATGAGCACTACCTTCATCGAGCAAGCGGCTTTTTCAATACCTTCTTTCTTCTTCGGTTGACACCATGTCTATAATCTTATCACTTTCATTCAGAGTCAAAAGCCTACCAGTTGTATTTCCAAGGTGTATGGAAATAAATCCTTTATACTGCATTTTTTACATGCTCAGCATGAGAATCATTATCCACACTTTCACGATCATGCCGAAACTAATTAATTTGTCCATTTACAAATCATTTCTCTTGAATGAACCAACTCACCTAACACATTTAACATTTCGCTTTCTATTCCCTTTTGCTTTCTAGCTTTTTATTATTGAATAATTTTTCTTGTCATTTTATGCGACATAAATAAAATTCTCTGAACTTCTTGAATCCCTTCCCCATCTGCTGTTATTGGCCTATCGGAATTGTAAAAATTAAAAAAGAAAATTGAAATTGCATTCATATGCTTTCAGCCAATGGCCACAATGCACTATTGAAATTGATTGGAAACATGACACTTGTGTAACGACATATTAATAGAATCATTAAGAATTTTAATGATGGGCCTTAAGAAAGTATTTGATTTTATGGGCGTTTTTCTTTTCATTTTTCTTTAGAACACCTTCTAATGCTATGCATTTATGTTCTTTCACACAAGTTGGGATAGGTTTTCAAATTCAGATTCACATCCGCAAATCCCTCAAATCCCCCAAATTAATTCACTCGTCGAAATTGTTGAGCGGGTGAAGGAAAAGCTATCTCTTTACATATAATATGACTAAAATACGTGGTTGCCACACTTTAAAAATATTCTGCTCCTGATCATAAAAATTCCAGACCATTCGTCCGCCTGAAGTCGACGCAATAGTCGTTACATATATCAAAATTTTATATGGTCATCATGAATTTAGTGAGCAAAAAGTCGGTATAGATAGTAAGTTATCGATAGCACACATAATTTTATTATCATTTATTATAATTTTTCAAAATCTTTTTCGTTCGTAAAAAAACACTTTAAAGTGGTGAAAACTTACCTGATCTATAAAAGATATCGATCTCAAAATTTATACTAATATTTGTCCTCGATATTCAAAATGAAGGCCATCTATGCATTGATGCTTTCACAAATTTCCATCTGACAAACATAACTTGCCTTTACATAAGCTGATGTTCCAACAACACGATTTTTTCTTTCGCGAGTTGCTGAGATACAACTCCGCCACAAATGAGAAGAAGCTACCTATGTCTATATCCTCCAGATCTCAAATTCAATTCCACGCTGCGCCAAAAATGATCCTAACCAACCCCATGTAACTATAAAATCCTGATTCCGATTTATTTCTTAATTATTTCTAATTGACTGAAGAATATATATTTATGTGTGTGTTAAGGACAAATTGGATATAAATTGAAAGTAAAATATTATTATGAATTCTGGACATATTAATAAATCATTTTGAATCATTTCTGAACCGAGCGAGACGATTGTCCCAGAGAAGACGTGGATTACAATTTTTTTCGAAATATCTTCACGAATCCGATTTGCGTATAGGTAGATCAGGAATATTTATGACAAATTTTGGCATCCTTTTGCCGTTCTCCGTTTTTGGTGACTGCGGCAATTTCACAAAGAAAAGGGGGGGGGGGATCAAACTAATTGACTTTTGGCTGAAGTCGGTATATGCAAAATGTCGATACTTTTAGTGTTAAATCAATTTAAAAAGTAATTCTATCTCGAAAAGGTCGCGCCCCATCTCAAATCGTTCTAGCGCGTCGCCCGTATCGCAAGTGGTTCGGTGGGCGTGGTGTATTGTATAAAAAAAAGAAAACAAATGTCACGATATAATATCAAAAGGACTGCCTTGTTCACTTGTTTTACTTGCGGTCAAGCAATTTGCTGTCAACTTGAATGCAATAAAAGCTTGTCAAATATAATTTTTTTATGCTGAATAATTCATTTCATTTACTTTATTTTCATATAGTTTTTATTTAAAAGCTGCGCTCCAGGATTGGTTTGAGTGGCTTTATTATTTAAAAAGAGAACGTTATTTATTTTGTGTGTGTGTGTGTGTGTGTGTGTGTATGTATGTATGTATGTATGTGTGTGTTTGTGTGTTTGTTTATTTGTTTATATTTTTGCGTGTTTGTGTAAGAAGTGCACCATTTTTCTTTTAGTCTAATAATTGGTAATTTATTTATTTTCTTGTTTTTTTTTTTTTTTCATTTCCAAAATATTTTTAACATTTTCGTTTTTTTCTTTTTAATTAATTTAATTTCATAATAATAATGAAATGAAAACTTGATATGAAAAGAAAAGTAAAACAAAAAAACAAAAAAAAAGTCTTTCAAATTTTAAAATAAATAAATGTAAAATTAAAAACAAATAATGTGTAATCAATTAATTGCAATGAAATCAAATGAGGCCTTAGGAATAATTTTTAGTTCTTTTTTTCAATTTAAATTTTCTTAAATGTTTTGTTTGATTTCATATACTAATAATAATAATAATAATAATAATAATAATAATAATAATTAGAATAATAATAATAATATTTGTGTAATTTTTCTTCTTTCCTCTTTTTTTTTTTTTTAGCAAGTTAGCGTATCAAAAATTAATGAATTTTTCAATTTTTAGCATTTTATTATATTAAATATATTGTGGTTGCTATTCTTGTTCTTTTTGTTGTTGTTGTTGTTGTTATTATTATTATTATTGTTGTTGTTGTTGTTGTTATTGTTGTTCAAGCCTATTTTTTCCGTGTATTATGATCGTAATAATTTTCATTTTATTTATTTATTTATTTTACTTTTTTTTTATAAATGTGTTATGAAAATAAGCTCTTTTCTGTTTTGTGTTGAATGTTGTGAATGTACGAACGTGTATGAGTATGTATGCGTATGTATGTCTGGTTGCCTTTGTAAATATGTATATATGTAAATATAAATATTGTATAATTATTGTTTTGTTTGCTGTCATGGACTGAAATGTTTTGTTATTTTCAACGGTTTGCTGATTTCCTTAAAGCTTTAAAAATTAGACAAATTTCTCATTAAATTAAAAAAAATTGAAATAAAATCAATAAAAAAAAAAAAATAAATAAATAAATAAAAAAAAATAATAATAATAATAAACTTTACATTCATTCAGTTCATACCTATTTAATTGTAAATAAAAAAAAATTTTATGTTTAATTTTTCTTAATCTGCTATCTATGGCCGATTTCATTAAGAACGTAATGTAGAGAACGCTTTTCTTTAGCTCATTTGAAAAGAATGCCTTATATGACCAAGAAAGTGTAAGCAATATCGATATCAATAAAGATATCACCACATACCTGACTGTTGTATTCTTATTGGAAATTTTTAAAATTGAGATAAATAATCGAAACATATGTACGATTGTTGACTAACCAAGAAAGGGTTGCATAGTAAATTAAAGAAAATTTATATTCGATATCGATCGAATCGTTTAGCGTTAAAGCAAAAAAAAGCTCATCAGTATTAATTAAAAATCGCTCTTACACTGTTTGCTTCATTTTCATTTACGAACTACATGTCATGCATCGATATCCGAGAAGAATGAATAAAATTATCAACATTTTTTACAATTATGTGAAGAAAGCAACAATTGTACGTAACTTTGTTAAACACTTGGACAAATCATTAATGTTTAGACAAAGAGGAAGAAGAACAAAAAGAAGAAGAACAGAACGTTCGCTTTTTACGCTAAATCAAAAACATATATACTTTATGGAAATTCCAATGCGAGTTTACATGCATTACACATCCCGTCGCTAGACTTTATAAAAGAAAAGAAAATTTCAAAATATTCTTGTGAACATTACATCAGTGATTTAAATGAGTTTCATATGAAAGTTCTTTTTTTTTTTAATTTTTCTATGCGATTTCATAGGCTTTATATTAGTTCGCTTTGACGATCAAATTTGCGAAATCCCAGGATCGATATGCTTATCGATCTTCAACATTTACAAAAATTATTGATAAAAAATTAGAGTTTATTGACGAACTGGTCATTCCTTCAGTCTGTTTATTACGCATTTTTAAATCATCTGGTTTCGGCAAAATGAAGCAAAGACAGTGCAGTGCATGAATAACTCAATTTTTTTGTTTTTCTCTTTTTTTTTTGCTTTAATATATCATCTACCGGTGTTTATACTAAAGCATTTTAGTATTAAATAACAAAGAAAATACAATTAG